TCTGTTCGGTACAAGGTTTCTCTGCAACCCTGTACCAGCGTGTGCCTTTGGGTGCCCATACCATGGCCCTCTGCTCACGAGGGGACATTTCACTAAAGTCAGTGAACCGACTTACCGGAAATAAACATTACGCTTCGTGATCTCAGGCCAAGAGGATAAACGCCCCCAGCACATCTTCTCCAAAGAGCAGCAGCTGTAAAAGCAGGGGAACAACTCGACTTCCATCAAGGTTCCATATGCTTAAGACCTGATTTCCAAAGCTCAGCAAGGTCAGACGAACCACAGTGCTACGAGATCTGATTTCAACCTGTTCTTTGAAATGTCAAATACTTTTCTCATAGATCGATATTTGATATCATCAGTAGCAAAGCCAGGTAGCAAAGCCTGTCCTAAAATCACTGAAATCAACGAGCTTCTTTGGTGGCTACTCTCCTTTCCCACTATGTTTTGGATACATGCCCAGCTTCACCGCCACCACTCTGTCCCACACTTCATGCTCCAGCGACAAGGAAACCAACTCAAGCACAGGACGCTGACTGGACCGCTTGAAGTGCACCCCCCTGGCCACCTGCTCCTCAAAGCCAGGCCTCTGCTTGGGGTGCCCCCTTCTGTTACGACCTTGAGCCACAGCTCACCAAACCTTTAGATCCTTCACTACCGATAGTTGAAAAAAAATTAAGCAAGAATCTCTTACATATATTTATTTGTAAATATGTTTTAATGTACCGATATGGTAGTCACATTATAAAAAAGTACAAATGATCAAAGAAAGATAAAATAAATGTTAACATATTTTATTTTATTCATCAATAATACAGCAACTTTTGTTGTCATTAATAGTTTTAGTGAGAGCAACGTGACTTACACGCTTCCTTTTTTTCAGTGTTTTCAGCAATTTTTTTATGGAAGTGAAATATGTGTATATGCAATATAAGTGAGAGGTCAGAGAATTCTCACGAAGTGAACACACCCATGTGACCGCACGCACACGGAGACAGCACTGGCAGCCCCGGAAACCTACGGTGCCGCTTCTGTCACCGCCCGCCTCCCCAGGGCGCCTCTGCTGTACCGGCTCAGCGTAGTTCTGTTTGAACTTCGCATGAATGCAGTCACACTGTACGTAATCATTTGCATCTCGGTGGACATCGTGTCTGTGAAACTCGCCCTGATTGTCATTGACTCTTCCTGACGACGGCTTTCTTCCACTGAGGGAGCTGCCCTGTATCTGTCCATCGTCTCCACTGCAGTCGGCGCCGCAGTGACCATGCCTGAGCGTGCCCCCGGCACACACGGGTATGCCTTTCTGCTGGGCTGATACCTAGCAGGGGATCTGCCAGGTCACACAGTAAGTGTATGTCCAGCTTCGGTAGCTGATGCCAGTTTTCCAAATGAGGCTAAACCAACTGACACTCCGCCAGCAGGGTATGACAGTTCTGGCTGCTCCACATCCTCACCAGCACTTGATACGGTCTTTTTTTTTTTTTTTTTTCATTTTAGCCATTCTGGTGGGTAAGACGTCTCAAAGTATTACAAACACCTTTAAAGATGAGGACAGTGAAATTAAGTGCATCGCTCAAACTCACAAACCTAAGGTAAGTCAGAGCAGGGACCCAGGTCTTCTGACTCCAAAAAAAAGCGCAGTTTCCACTTGTAGAAAATAGTGTTTCCAGCAGGAACACCCCAACAAGAGGCCGCAGCAGAACGGGCTTGCGCACTATGCTGATCCCAACACTGCACTCGCGACAGGCAAGAAGGAATAAAATGATCTATCACCCCGACTCTGAGACAGACACATGGAAGTCCAGATAGACATCAAGCATTAACAGTATGCTGGCTGCTTTTTTTTTTTTTTTTTGGTCTATATACTTTCTTATTTTCTACAATTAACATTTAGTAATACAAATGGTTTTTGAAATTGAGAAATGATTTGCATACCATTAAATGCGCCCTTTTAAACTGCAGAACTCAGCAGTTTTTAGCATACTCACTAAGCTGTGTGACCAGCACCGTTATCCAGAACCTTTCCAGCACCCTTGGAGGAAACCCTGCTCCATCGGCACTCACTCCACTCCCTGCCTCCCTGGCGGCCACCAACCTCCTGTCTCTATAGATTTACTTCCACACGGAATCGTGCAGCACGGGGTCTTTTGGGTCTGGTTTCTTCTATTGTTTTCAAGGCTCATCCATGTTGTAGCATGAATTAGTACTTCATTTTTTACGGCTGAATAACACTCGACCATATAGACACATCACATTTTATTTAACCCTTCATCAATTACTGGATATTTGGGTTGTTTCCATTTTGGCTATCATGAATAATACTGCTATGAACATGCAGGAACAAACTTCTGTGTAGAAGTATATTTTCAGTTCTCTTGGGTATATACCTAGGAGTAGAACTGTTAGGTCATACAGTAATGACGTTCAATTTTTTGAGGAACTGCTAAGTTGTTTTCCAAAGAGTGCACTGTTTCACGTTCCCACCAGCAATGTGCCACCCTGCAGAATGAAGGTGCCAGGCATCCCTCTGCAGGTCAGCTGCAGAAGATGGCACCCAGAGAAATCACCCTACCAGTGGTCCCAGGTGGAATGTATAACAACCTCTTAACATTGTATTTTATCCACTGGAAAACCCACGTCCAGACGTATTGGGGTCGTGGATCTTGCTGTCAATCTCTCACCCTTCGCACCTGCACAGCTCTCTTTGGAGTGCAGAGTGTTCACGTGCATGATCTCCGGTTTGAACAGGAATCCTATTCCTGCCTTTTCTGATATGGTTTTATGTATCTTCTCTCAGTGATCGTTTCGCATTTATAATCAGAATTCTATTTCATAATCATAATCGCAACAATCGTTTAGAAATAATTTTACACTTGCGTGGTTCTACTCCCACGGCCAAGCCTTTCTGACTCTGACTTGCCCATTGGTGGCCTTTTATTTTGATTCATCTCTCAGATGCCTTCTAGCGATTCTTCCCCCAGAAATGGTGCATGGCTATAGCAAAAGCTACACACGAGGTGTGTTCTTGCGCGACTGAAATGAATTTCTGTTTCTATCAAATGTGAACTAAAACTTGGCTGAGTATAAAATTCTTGGGTCACAACCCTTTTGGGTACCGCTCCACTGCCTTCTGGCGCCTATGCGTAGCCAAGTCCAAGCCCAGCCTATTTTTTTTCTTTGATTTAAAGATTATTTCTGCCTGGATGCTAATGGTATACTCTCGACGTTTAAAAAATACTCAACCTGGATACTGTTTTAAGTGTTAACTAATTTGTTAGTTTTGCCTGGTTCACGATGAGCCCTTATAATTTACAGATTCAGGTCCTTCTGCAGCTCAGGAAAATTGAGGATCCCTTCTCTTCCATTTGTTCTGGTTTCCAAGCTGGCCCATCATCCTCATCTGGGGTCACCTTCATCGCCTTCCTGTCCCTTCTGAGATCGGCAGCTTATCCTCCTCCTGGCTCCTTGACGCTCTGCAGTGCCGCGAATTTCAGGTGCTGGCATTACGTGACTTGCTTCCTTACGTTCTTTAAGGCCTCAAGCTCCTTTTCCTCGTCATCTCATCTTTCAGAGCATCTATAACTTCTCTGAGAGGACAACGAAGGGTGCTTGAAATTTATTTCAGTTTACTGAATAAAGGTCTGGGAACTCTCTTCCCGAAGCCTGCTCTTGCTCTATGTCTCGCACGCTTTGTTTATTTCCCTTTACACGGCTGGATCTTTTCAGTGGGTCGTCTCTTCGTTTTTCTATTTGTTCATTCTTAAATGAGGACAGATGAGTCCTGGCCTGATATCTACCCAAAAATAGTGTGGATGGACTCCCTTTGGTCGCCTCTCTATTTACTCTAATAGAGTCAAACGTTCTTGGACGGGCCAAGGGCTAGCACCATGTCCATCGTTCAACTGTGACCACTCCAGTAAACAACTTCTCTTGCCTCGGCTTCCTACTATAAAACCGGAAAGTTGAGCTAATCTTTAAATGTCCTTTAGCTCTACATTTTTATAATACTCTTATACATCATATAAAGTTTCAATAGTCTGAAATTAAATATCAAGATTTTGCTAAATATATGCATAAACAAGCAATACCCTCTTTCTTTAGAAAGACTGTATTTCAAATTAAGTGAACCAGAAATAGCAAGTTCAACAAACAGACTTCCTGTGATTATATATAAGAAAAAAGAGAAGTATAAATAATTTTCCAAGAGCCAGAAGAGTACATGCCCCCGGGATATGCTGGGTATGAAATGTTTGCAAGAAGGTACAAGCTACACACAAGCAACTGACAGCTCCTTCTCCCTGCCAGTCTTGCAGGCGCCCTGTCAATCCCGGGGCCTTCAGTCTTGTCTAAACCCTGAAAACCAGGCGGGAAGGCTGTGGTAACTGGCCGTGTCCTCGCAGGACCTATCTCCCCACAGCCCACAGACACTGCAAGGGATAACACTGATGGAGAGCTTCCTGTTGGCACATGCTGTGGCACGCACTCTACACGCATTATCCCACTGAATTCCCCCAACCACCTGACGGGCGACTCAGTCCCCATGGTCTCTGGCTCTCCAACATGTCTTACTGGATACGCCAAGAATGCGGGGTCCTGACACCTTGACCTGGCCACTTCTCAGGACTGTGTTTGCAGTGAGCAACCTTGAATGATGGGTCAACATCTCCCTCAAGGACAAAGAGCAGGCTTGCTTACTGCCGGCCATGAAGCTGCAGGCTCCCCAAACTCACAGTTTCTCAGCTGTGATACGAAAGCGCGGCATCCACCTGAGCCCACGGTGTCACCCCCGTGGGACCTGGGGGAAGGGAAACCGACACACATGCTCATCTTCACGCCTTTGTCTCTGACTCGGGAATTATGCAGACAAAAAGATAGGAAGAAGACAGGGAAAGTTCTCCCTCGCAATTCCCCGCCTACCTGAGTCCTGCGTCACCCCCGTCTCCTAGACGCCCCTGTAGTCAGCACACACCTTCCCATCTTTAACTGTTTTTGTCCTTTACCTCAAACTCGTCGAGACTCCACTGCAGTATGTGGTTAAGCGTATCGATTCTTTTCAGCGTTGAAATCCAAATGCCCAACAACGTAATACTCATTCCTTCCCTTGCTGCTGTGCAACTCCTCACGTCTCATGAATCAACTTCCTGTGTAATTAGCAACAAAGTCGCTTGTCGGTCATTCATATATTTTCCTGCTTTCACCCAAGCACCATATGGGATTAATAAATTAGTGCTTTACGATAAATTTTGAAGGTTCGGCCATTTATAATCCATGTAATACTGGGCTCCGCTTCAACTATACTGAGGCTCCACAGCCAATAAAACTGTTAAGCATGGCCAGTAATGGTGAGGCTGGCCCCCGACAGCCATCCTCCCCTTCTTCTTCTGTAAAAGAATTTCTGGTTTTTAGGAGGATGCATGGCTTTCTGAATACACATCATATTTCCAAGCTTCCCTTACTGCTAGGTGTGGCCACATGACCACAATCAGACCAATGAGATGAAAAAAGAGTCATGTGCAATTCATTGAAAGTAGCCCTCGAAAGCTGGAATGCAGGTGCAAAGACTAGAGTTCCAGCAGCCACTTCGGGCCATGAAGTGACCTCAGATTTTGGAGCCAGTCCCAAGATCACCTCGTGATGGAACAAGATAGAAGGTCTCTGACCATGTAAGCTACATACCTACTCTGAGCTGGTTATGTCCTGACTTCTCACACATAAGAAACGTCTGTCACATCTATGTCTTTGCTATTTTTTTTTTCTGTCACTCACACCCCAACCTACAGAAATGGGTCCCTCACAAGGAAAGGAATAAGAGTTAAATGAGAATATCTATCACGACAGATGTCCATTTTTATATTCTCACAACAAAGCGCTGTTTTTACATACAGCAGGCAACTCAAATGTTTGCTGACATGAATAAGAATCTGGAAGAATGATGGCCATTTCATTACTTTTAAAAAAATTTAACCTTTTTACCAATTTATTTTTCCAGATGCACATCACTCCTTTATCAAGTTTTACAGAATATCTCATTGGAACTGCATTAAATCTTTACCAACATTACTGTCACTATTAACTATGTCCAGACGTCTCTGGAAAGGGCCAGAAATTGATTAATTCCTTCAAAACACATTTAATAAGAGGCTATTCTGTAGCAAGCCTTGTCATAAAAATCAGACTTTGGAGTTAATAAATAAACATTAGGTAAATAATTTGCAAAACAACCTCTCCTGGTGCCCACCAAAATCCTCAGGAAAGCAGAAGAGATGAAAATCTACATCATCACTAAAGACTAAGGCTAACGTGCTTCTCTGTCCTCATCACCTCCGGGTGTTGATTCAGAATCTTCCTGCCTCTCATCTTCACAGCCAATAAAACTCCTCTGATCAAGGTTCCTGGGCCTGGTGCTTTTTCATTTTCTATCCGGTAATGTTTTCTGTGTTTCTCCATCGCCATGCTTATCCTCAAGTCTTTTTACCAGTAGATCTGGCTTTCTTCCCATTTGGTGGTGTTCACATAGCTGAATCTGTTATTGCTGAAGTTCTTTATTTTGTACATTTGCTGTGCTGGTGGAGTTCAGTCCAGTGGTGATTATCTGCGGAGGTACTCAGGCGATGATGGTGTCATCATCATCACTGTCACTTATTGAACCATTACTCTGTGACATTTGCTAAGCACTTTACCCATATAATGTACCACTGAGATCACCTTAGAATAATTCTCTAAGGTGGGTATGGTTATCAAACCCATTTAACGTGAGAAATCTGAGGCCCAAAGAGGTCAGATAATTTCTCAAAGGAGAAATTATTACACAGTCAACACAAGTACCCTCGCTGGCTATGGTAGTGAGTCCCTGGGTGAGGATCTGAAGCCATCTCAGCCTGCCCCCTATTCTGAACCATTTCTTTATGTTCCATCCCAAGAGAGCTGAACAGCATTTTACATTCTGTTCTGGTACACATACTCCCATCTATCCATCTGCTCCCTTCTCTCTGCCTAAGTATTGGGGCTTCTCAACTCCACATAATCCTTTCCTTTTTCCTTTCCTGAGGAACAAATGGCTTACGAGGGTGGTTGGCCCTGGCATTAAGGACAGCTGCTTCCCTCGAGTTATCCCTGATCCTTTCTTCATACTCCTCAGCTTGGCTTTCAGCACCAGGGTCAGTGGCCACCGGGTCTCTGCCTCTGTCCTACATGCTCCCGTCTTTGCGTTCAGGGTAATACTTAGAAAACACATGTTGGATCATAGATCAGTTTCCCACTGGCTGTCTCAGATTAAAGGCTCCTAACTGAGTTCGGTAAACTAATCTCAGCCAGGCCCTTAGGGCTACCAGGGGGACAGACTTGCACTTTTGCCAAACGAGCATCCTCCCTCCCCCAGAAGTCTGGGTTTATATCACGTACTCTAACTCTGAGATCCTACAGCAGCCTCTCCCCTGCTACCGAAGCTCGGGATACACGGGGGACCACGGGCGCACTCCCAAGTCTCGGGGCTCCCACGGTAGATAATCCAGGGGGAGTGGCTTCACCTTTCCAGAACTTCCTCCAACAGTTCTGACAGCTGCCCTTCTTGAGATCTAGACATACATCCTCCCCACCAAGGACCACCGACAGACGGTGTGAGCAGGCTGCTTGGAAAGTTCTAGGGAGGCTAAAGAGTTTACAGCGTCCCTCGGGGTCCTCTGCGCACAGAAGCAAAGGTGACTACGACGGCCTCTCTCGAGGAAGGCTGGCTGTGACATCCGTGAAAGGAAGAGTTCCGACGTGGGGCCGCAGAGCCCTCGGCTTCAGGGGGCGGGGGCAGAGGCCGCAGGGAGGGAGCTAGAGGGGACCCCCATCACCACCGGCAGCTCACACCACCATCTTCCTCCTTCCTCACTGACTCCTCTTGCCCCTTCTGACCGTCCACTGTGTCCCACTCATGCTGGTGCTACCGCAGCCCAGCCAGGAGCCCCCGCTCACACACACAGCCTTCCTGAGCGATCCCACGCCCCTCCCACCACCTCAGGGCCAGCCACTCGACGATGACCCCAAGCCTCTCTCTAGACCAGTGGGGGCATCAGAACCATCTGTGAAAACTCTTCAACACACAGATGACCAGCCTCTCTCCCCCAACCACATAGAGGATTCTGACGCTCCAAAGAGCGAGAACCACTGAGCGGGACCAGACCTCTCTGTGCTCCTGAGCACTGCCTGCAAGCGCCTGAGCTCTAATCCCAAACCACTTTTCCAGGCTCAGTTCCTTCGGCTCATCCTCCGTCCCTTCGCCACGAGCCTCACCCCGCGGCACCACCACAGAGCTCAGCGTCACCCAGCACGCTCTCTCCTGCAGCTCTGTACAGTCTGTGTCCTCGGCCTACGCTCCTCTTCCCTTGGGAAACTGAAAGTCTGTCTTTAAGAGCCTGTGAGTCTGATTCAGTTCCACGAGCTTCCATTCCCACCACTTATCACCCCTAACGTGATGTCATCATCATTTATTTACTCCTATCTGTCAGGTCCGTGGGCTCCTGAGGACAAGGAGTCAGGCCAGTTACACGCTCAGTAAATGTTTACTTCGTGAATGAAAACCGCTAATGAGATCATGGTGTTCTTCCATCCCCTTGAGAAGAAACGGAAGCAATCTTTAAAGCAATAAAAATAAGGCCAACTGCTATCTTGGAAGCCACGGCAGGTTTCAGTGATGATGCTCTGCTGATAGATGGGAGATTTGAAAAAGAGTCAGCAACTGCAGAATTTGTCGGGATTTCCAGCACAGGGGAGGAGAACAATGCCGTGACCACCAGGGCGTGAACATGTATATTAGTGTCGCCTCTGTGCTCGGTGCACCAACCACACCAGCTTGCTGTTACTTCTTGAATTCTCCATACCCTTGGCCCAGCTGGGACCATGACGGATACAGCTGCCACCTCTTCAGCTGTCTAACTCCAACTCATCTTCCCCTGGGAGTCTGTCTCCGACCCTCCTAGCCAGGCGAAACCATCTCATTTACGGTCTCTCAGTACCTTGTACTCCTCTTTTGTAGCCGACATCATCGCTGGAATTTTTACATACTTATATTGTTCTCATTTAACTTTGCTACTAGACCATAAGCTAAAAGATAGCAAGGACCAGACTTGTCTTTTTCCTCTACTGTGGCCCCACACTCAGCATAGTGCTGGCGCTCAGCAGGCCCTGAATAAGAACTGGATTGATAAATGGATGAAGAGATGGATGGACGGATGGATGGACAGATGGACTGGCAGGCAGGTCTGGAAAACGGAGGAACAAGGAAGAAGGCTGCCTTTGATTAATGTACAATACTTTAATATTATCCAGCTCACTTTACTCTGACTCAACCCTCACAAAGCAACCTCAAAGTTTAAAGCTGGGGCTTTCCTACTGAAGAAAGGAGGTGCACACACCGGGTATGTTCCTGTTTACTTGGAAAGCAGGTGCCAAAGCAAATGGCACACCTGGCTTTCTGGCTTCATATCCAGTGATCACTCTGTAATACCAGGCTGCTCTCTCTGTTCCACAAGTATACTGGCTATGTCAATAAAACTAAGTTCCAAAACTCTCTCAGTCCTGAAGAAGCCCCCGAATATCATAATGAAGCCCCCAACATGTGTTGCTAACAGACCACCAGAGGCACTGCCTCTTCTCAGCCAGCCACCATCGCCGGACATCAGAGCTGTGCCTGAAGGCAGGTCTTAGTTCCTCCTCCCACGCAGTCGCCCTGCAGATTCAACGAAGGACCCTGAAGCAGAGGATTTCATCAGAGAGAAATGCTTCTTCGGGGACGTGGTCTCTGAGCCATGTTACATGAGCTGCAGACAGTTGTTGAGAAACTGTAATATGCAAATGGATGTGCTAAAGTCCATGGGTTTTGCTAGGTGGGGAATCAGGACACCCGAGTATGAAACCTTGGCAAAGTCCCCACTCTCATCTGGAAAGTGGGAAGAGTGGACTCAGTGATCTCTAACCTTCGGGATGGACTAACACTCCATCTGGTGAGCACAAAGGCCACAGCAGTGCTCACTGCAAAAGAGTCCAGTGGCTGCTGTACCCAGAGATAAAGTAGAGAAATAAGCTGACGGAGGCAATCAGCATCTTTCGAAAACAGCAAAAGAATGCTGTATATCAATCAGCAAGTAACTGCTAATCTTATCAAAAAGCTCCCCATCAAGAACAAATCCTAATCTTACCTATCAGCCCATCGGCACATGCATCAGTGATCACTGCACTTTCATCATTTACAAGAAAGACAAGGTGTCCCCGTCCCTAGAATGAACCGGCCCTTCACCCGTCGCTCCAAATTGAACTCGATTCCTCCAATTCAATGATCAGGAAATTAAAATAACTAAAACTATGAGAACTATGACAAATCCCCTTTTTCAATGAACCTGTTTCCTCGTCTCTCCTGGGACTCCTCCATTGTGCTCAGAAACCACCCTGAGGCAGCCTGGGCTGTGAGAAAAGGAACCCGAGAAGCTCTTCTCCCATAGCTACATCTTGGGCAGTTTTTTTAACCTCTCTGAACTTCCATTTTCTCCTCTGCACTTCAAAGCCTGTCCCCCTCCCGTGCAGAATCAATAAGAGGATGAAAAAACAGGTGT